GGGGGAGGGAGGGGAGGGAGAGAAAGAAAAAAGGAAGGAAGGAAGGAAGGAAGTAAAGTGATAATCACATATTCAGTTAAGGGACGTTTAAACACACCAAACCTCCAAGAATGGCTGTATCCTAAGGAAAAGAGATTGCAGGATAGAGATAGTCTCATTTTTCTCTGGCAAGTAAGAAAATACTAATTTTTTTTTTTTTTTTTTTTTTTTGTACCAGGGATCGAACTCCGGTCCTTGCACTTGCGAGGCAGGTGTTGGAACCACTGAGTTAAAAATATTGATTCTTTAAATGTTTCTCAATATTAATTTTAAAAAGTATGTGCAGTAGTATATCTGTTGAACAAAACAACTATAATATAAGATTAAAAACAAGAATCTAAGGCGAGAAGTGATTTCCCCAAAATACTTTGTGCTTAATGATAAATTATGACATAAACGTCTGAATGATAGCAATATAAAGTTCTTAAATATTAAATTTCGTAAATTTTAGCTTCCTTTTTACTCAATAAAATGGCTTTCTACTGACTGGTTATTCGATGCTCCTGAATACAGGCAGATGCCCTCTTTCCAGGCTGCCATCCTCTGCGTGCGCTTGGACCCACCCATCCGTCCATGGTCACCTAATCCACCTGCTGCACTCTCTGGCAGCTGGTGAGAGCCAAAGGGAGTCACTGGCTCTGGTGTTAAATTGCCTGCTGGCCACACAGTATAGTAAATGTGGTCACTCTTTTTCCATTTGACATAAGCTTTCTTTAAATAATTACAAAGCTCACAGGCTGCAGGCAGCAGGTGTGTGTGAAAGGCACCAGGACCTAAGAATGGCCATCCTGAGTCTCAGAGCACCCACAGCCAAGCCTACAGTTCCCCAGCTATCTAAGAATTCACTGACACCGTCCCTCTCCTACTAGGACACTTTTCAACTAAAACAGAGAGGAGTCCTAGGAGACATTTAGTCTTGTAGATTTAAAGTTTTAAAAAAAGATTCAAGATGAATATAATAGTATTATGGGGGGAAAGAAAGAAATAATTTTAGATATAATCTATAAGTGGATGGTTTTGAGTGACTTGCTCTTTAAAAAAAAAAAATCAGGCCTGAAGTTCCCAATTTTCACCCAATCTTACCACCCCCGTGAATGACTTATCCAGTGTTCTGTGATTCACTGGAGGTTGGGAATCGGGGATTCTCTTGCCTGAAGTTCCTCCTCCACCTTCTCCTCCTTCCAACCCACTGGTTTAAGGCACACGATCCCATGACAAATTTCTTCCAACTTGCAGTTCAAAGAGAAGTCAGACCTGTCACCAGGAAAGGGGACACAGTCTGGGGAGTTAAACACCTGTAACTGACTTTGCCTAGTGGCTGTCCAAGACAGGACTGTTCCCTAGCTGCATGCGGCTCTCGGGGGCCATTTTTCTCCCTCTCTCTATAATGCGTGGCAGTCCTGCTGCAAGCAGTGTTGACCAAAGCAACAAAAGTCTCCATAATTCATAATTCCACACTGGGACAATCTACAACAGCTCCCATAAAGAAGATGATGAGACACAGGATGGCAGAGATGAGAGACATGGTGGAACTCAGGCTCAGACGGGGGCAAGCTTTGTCCAAAATCACACAGCAAAGAAGGACAGGCCAGGACTTTCTCCAGACTTTCGGGCACTGCTACCCTAATCTCTTGAGCAGCTGCAACATTCCCTAAACAAGACTTTCTCTGCCCTAACTCCCAATTAGAGAGAAATCAATGGAAGTTCCATTTTTCTGGGGGAGTTTAACAGTTGCAGCTGTTGCAAAACCACACAATGGAGGATGTTGCAACTCCAAAAACACTGTGGAATTACTGCTTCCAGGAGTATTCAAAATAATCGGGGGAACTCAGTCTAGACATGAAGGGTATCTTTCAAAAACTATCTCCTCTCCATTAGGCAGACTCAAGGATCACAAATCCTACATTCCTGTTCAGTCTTTGCAACTGTGACCTCACTGGGCTAAGTTACTTCAACTTCTGTGGCCTGGGCTCTTCATCTATACAATGGAAAGAAAAATCCTCACAAGGCTGTGAACTATGGACGTGAAAACGCACAGTAACATGCTACAAGGTGTAACAGAAATGGGAGAAGGGGTGATAATGATTATGACAGTAATTATGTTCACCATTAAATTCATTAGGGGCTTACTCCATAAAGCAACTAACCTCCTACCTCTCCATCGGGTAAGTAGCGGGTTACCTGATGGAGATTACTGCTCTGCCGGACAAAGGCTTCTGTCGGGACTACAGATCAGAACTTGTGCCCAGCCATCACACCAATCTGCGTGCAAGCTTGGATGGCTTCCACTCCGGACCCAGGGCCTGCAGAGGAGCTGAGCAGATCGCAGGTCACGCCACTCCTTCCCCGCTTCCTATGAAACCCGGGAAAACCTATCCCTGTCGGTGCCACCCTCCCGCTGAAACCTCCCCCAGCCCTCTCCACTCCTCAGAGCGGCCTCCAGCCGCTTTCTCAAGCTGGGAACCTCAGTATTCCTACTCGCGATTCTGACAGACACTTAGCTCGTCTTGCCCGTTCTGCATCCCCAAGGGAGTCTCCAGGCAGCTCAAATCTTCCACTCCCGCCCCCACCCGTCACCTGCTGCTCATTCACCAGCCACACCGTGTGCCACGTTTCGCAACAGGCTGCTCCTGTCCCGAGACACCCTCCTGGCGTGTCAGGCCAGCTCCTGCTCCTCCTTCAATACCCTTCTGCACAAACTCTCTACCCTGATCACCTTCCACAGCCATCGGTAGAGCTATTTCCAGGGCAGAGAGAAGGGCTTGCTCAAATCTGCAATCTCAACGTCTTGCCCGGAGGGAGTGATTACTGCATGGACAGAAGAAAGCAGTGTCAAATTATCCACAGTTCTGAATGTAACTCATGGGGTTCTCGGTCTCCTCCACGAAGCTGTCCTCAGACCATATGGTCACTAGTAATTCTCATTAGTGCTGATCATAAATGCCAGATGCCATAAGCTCTTCAGACATTTCATCTGCTTATCTCTCAACCAATCATGGAGATCCATCCTGTTACCCCATTCCACAGGTGAGAAAACTGAAGCAGATGAGTGACTAGCTCTAAGTCCTTTGTCTGCTGAATGACAAGCCCGGGGCTCACCTGACTCAGAGCTCCGTTCCCAGCCTTGGTTCTAATCAGCCTCGCACTGGCTGTTCCGACCTAGAGCCCAGGCGGTGTGCATCACCGGGAACAGCGGATCCCACTCCTCTGGCTGCCTCATGACCAGATCCCTGCAAATCTACCATAGGACATGTGAGCAAAAGGTCTCTCTTCTCTTTCCAGGATGGACACTAGGCTGCCTTTTCCCTCTCTCACTGCCTCCTCACCTCATCCTTACACCCACCCTGTTCCTCTTGGACTTCAGTAACACTTTGAGCTGCGTTGAGTTGGCCCAACCTGGCTCTGTGCTGGCTCTAAGGAGCTGGGCCTGACCATCCTCCGGACCCACAGCCACTCCCCGCGCTCCCAGGGAGGGGGCTCTGGACAGGGATCGCCACATTCCTGCCAGGGGAAATCAGGCAGCCTCTCCTCTAGCCACTAGAACAAAGAGCAAACCAGGAGAGGGTGGAGGTGCGCAGGGCCACGCCCACAGGACGGGGAGAAGCTGTTGCCCAACCCCAAAGAGAAAGTGGTTGAGGTCACTGGGGCACCAGGGCACAACTCCTGGAGCAGGGCCCTGGCCATACTTGCCTGCTGGGCCTTGGGGATCTCTGCACGGCTTGGTCAACAGAGGAGTTCTACCTGCCAACAGCCCCCACCCCTAGGTCTCCATGTGAAGAACACAGCTGAGAGTACCCCCCTGGGGGTGGGGGGTGGGAGATAAATGTACTCACTGCAGTAACCTTAGTGACTCACTCAAGAAACATTCAGTGCTGCACAAAGTTGGACCTAACGCCATACACAAGAATGAACTCAGAACGGGTCCAAGACGTAAAGGTAGAAAACAGTTGCTTAAATCGAAACATAGGGAGAAAAAGCTTTATAGCCTCAGATTTAAAAGTAATTTTTTAGACACAACACAAAAGCCATGGGCAACAAAAGAGAAAACTGACAAAGTAGACCTCAGGAAAATTTTTAGATTTTGTGACTCAAAAGGCACTACTAACAGACAGCCCCCCGAGTGGGAGGATATATTTGCAAATCATATACCCGATAAGTGATTAATATCCTGAATACATAGAGAACTAAAATTCAACAACAAAATCCAAACAGCCTGTTTCAAAAATGGACAAAGGACAGATATTTCTCCAAGGCTTACATTCAAATGGCCATTAAGCACATGGTAAGCTGCTCAGCCATGAGGAAAATGCGAATCAAAACTATTAAGGAGATACCACCTCACACCCATTCGAATGGCTACTATCAAAAACCAGGAAATAGCAAGTGTTAGAGAGCACATGGGAAAACTGGGACCCTGTGCACTGTTAATGAGAATGTACAACGGTGCATCCTTGGTGGAAAACAGTGCGGCATTTCCTCAAAAAGCTGAAAATAGAATTACCGCTGGACCCAGCAGGGGTAATACCCAAAAGAGCTGAAATCATAATCTCCAGGTAGAAATCTTTATACCCACATTCACAGCACCCTTATTCGTAACACCTCAAACGTGGAAGCAACCCCAGTATCCACCAATGAACGGAGAAACAAGATATGGGCGTGTGCATTCAAGGAAAGGAAAGACATACTTTTCAGGGTTTAGATCTAACACGGCCCCCAACAGGACCGCGGTGGCGGTGCAGTTCCAGCTGACTTGCTCTTAGGAGGCGCGTTCGCTTGGAAGAGGCGGGTCACCAGGCCGTGGGTGACCTGGGAGAGCGAATCTTCCCTTTCTGGCGCCTCCCTTCACTCTCTGCCTCCCGAAAGCCCTGAGTTGAGCTGTTTGCCTCCACCAGACCCTTCCGCCACGACTTCCTGCCTTGGTGCCAACCATGGACTGAAACGTGAGCCAAAATAAACCGCTCCTCTTCTAAGTTGTGGGGGACCAGTATTTTGTCCCAGCAACAAGGAAAATGTAACATTCCACTCGCGTGGGTATCTCCAGTAGACAAGTCATAGAAACAGAAAGTAAGGGCCGGGGATTTGGCTCAGTGGTTCTGGCGCCTGCCTCGCAGAAGCACAAGAACCCCAGTTCGATCCCCGGTACCAAAAAAAAAAAAAAAGAAAAGAAAAGAGAAAAGAAACAGAAAGTGGCCTGGTGGCTGTCAGGGTCAGGGTAGTGATGCTGAGCGACTGTTTAATGGATACAACATTTTAGATACACGAGATGAAGAGCATGACGGAGATGGACAGTGGTGATGGCTGCAGAACATGATGAATGTGTTTGCTGCCACTGAACTGTATGCTTAAAATAGCTACGAGGAACTGAGTATGGGGACTCAGGCCTGTTCCCAGCACTAGGGAGGCAGAGGCAGGAAGATCACCTTGAGTTCAAGGCCAGCCTGAACTACATAGTGAGATCCTGTCTCAAAAAACATAAATAGGGCCAAGGATTCAGCTCAGGGTTCCACCTCCTGCCTCGCAGACACAAGGTCCTGAGTTCGATCCCCGGTGCCAAATAAATAAATAACATTCAGTGAGTGCCAAGCAAATCCTGGCCCAGTCTGAGGACCACAGCACAAGCCACACCAGTCTCCGCAAAGCTCCCTTGCCCTGAGGGGTTGCAGGCAGTAAGCGAGGCACACAAGAATAAGCATCCTGGAGTGTCCAGGAAGGCTTGTCTGAGGGGGTGGTACCTGAGGGAACACGTCAAGAAGGAGCACTCCTGCCAATGCAAAGACCTCGCTGCCCGGCGGGCGGTGAGCCCACCGTGCCCCTCAGAGGGGCAGCACAGGCGCTGCGAAGCCAGGGCACGGGCATCACCACGGACTCCAGCCCGCTGCTCCCCACGCTGCTGCCCAGCCTGGCGCTGTGACCAGCACTCTCTAAGCGGATGCACCAGAGATCGCCAGTCCCAGCTTCTGGGAGTGGCTTCCTCTGGCTCCCTCTTTTCCCTGAATTCCCATGTATCCATCTCGCAATCCTGATTCTCTGAGTTGTCCCACACATGGGTGTGTGGCTGAGGACAGGCCAGGGCAGTTACGAGAGGAAGATAAATATTGGAAATGGATTAGCTGTAGCAGCTGATATCAGTCACCCTTTGGGCCTCCATTTCTCCATTTGAGAAATGGGAACAGTCTCCTCTCACCTACTACATGGGACTGATGTGAAAGATCAAATAGAAATGTCCGCTGAAGATCTCATGTTGCTTTTCCCTGGCAGTATGAAGTGGCTTTCTCTCGGTTCCCTGGCCATTCCTAAACTAAATGTTACCCCAGGCTCTGAACTGCAGCAGAAAGATAATGAGGGGAGGGAACCAACAGAGTTAGTGCCAGACACTCTACAAATAGTATGTGAGTTTCTAGAACCGGAGCTGGGTGTTATCAGAGGGAGCATTTTAAAACATAAACACCTAAGGGCCTGTGCACAAAGATTCTCATTCAGAAGGTCTGGGACAGCACCAGATGTGTAATTATGAGGTTTTTTTTAACTCCATAGTTGATTCAGATGTGCACCCATGACTGAGAACTACTGATTAGCTCTTCCAAGCCTGGAAGGTCAGTCTTATTATTACTCTCACTTGGGAGCCAGATAAAGAGCGCAGAGCAACTGTCTGAGCCCTGAGATCACACAGCCAAGAAGTCAGAAAGCTAAGATTTGAACCAGACAGCTGGATCCCGAGACCCAAGCTCCACTCATCAACAAGCTACATATTTCTAGAGGCCAATCAGCATTTCCCTAACATCCAACCATCCTTGGTCCTGCCTCCTCACCCTTGGAAATCTGAAATACCTAATTTTCATATTCTGCATAACCTTTTCTCCCCCTTCTCCTCCTCTCTTCTTCCTCTTCCTCTTCTTCTCCTCTTCCTCCTTCTTTTCCTCTTCCCCTTTTTTTCTTCTTCTTCTCCTCCTTTTTTTGACACAAGGTTTCACTGTGTAAACTGGCCTTGAACTTGGAGCGATCCTCCTGCCTCAGCTTCCCTGAGTGCTGGGATTAGAGCTGTGCACCACCATGCCCTGCCTGCATTAACTTTCAATGAAAGTTTTATGGTTGGCCTACATCCTTATCCACCTGGCATCATCAAGGGATAATGTGTGCTCAAAGAAAGCAAAGCTTCTATGTAACTCTGCAGGCCAAACCTTTCCTCTGCTTTGACAGACTTATTTGTGATGGTAATATCAGAATGTACCACACACTTCCCTGCTTTCTCAGAGGACAGACACGATACACCTTTCCCGGGGGAGGCAGGCACACTGTGATCAATTAGCTTTAAACTTCTGCCTAGTAATATATTTAGGATCAGGAAGCAAAGGTTGAACCCATCCACCCCTTCTCTGTATCCGTGTCTTCAAGTTGCTGTCAGCCCTGCAGTCCATGTATCTGCCTCAGGGAGCCCCTAGCCCTCAGCCAGGCCCACAGAGACATGCGGAACAGAGTTCAGGAGATCTCGATGGGACTGCCACGCTGGTAAGAATTGCGTACAGTCTTAAGAGCAAATTGGCCCTACGTAGGAAAGGTGAAAGATGGAAAGTACCTGGGAGGGCCGGGGATTGAGCTCAGTGATTCCGCTGCCTGCCTCGCAAGTGCAAGGTCCTGAGTTCAATCTCCAGGTACCAAAATAACAACAACAACAACAACAACAACAACAATAATAATAATGTACCTGGGATTCTGAGCAAGGGAAAACAGC